TTATGCAGAAGCCGAAGATTGGGCAGAAGGGATATACAGGTAATGTGTTAGCCAACGAATGGAGTTGATTTCACGCCTCACGGGAACGTTAAGACAAAAGAAACACACAAGTTCAATAAGAAATAAGAAATAATAATAATCACGAGCATGTCTTCGCATAAAGACGGAAAAAAGAAATAGTATAACGCATCTTTTCTTGTTTTGTAAAAGCCATACGAGTAAACAAAAGACATTTAGATACAATAAAATATAGAAAAAATCAGAGAAACAATAGCCACATGAAGAAAAACAAAACTCATATTCGTTAGTTGTATTACTTTATTTTTAGATACAAACAATATGAAATGAAATTTGACTTTAACAAAAAAAACCAATATGAAATTTTAGGAATTAATCAATTAATTAGTATGTGATACCATTTTGTTTTTACCAAAACGATATTTTTTTCCTGAACATGTTTGAAATATAGCAGATGAAAAAATGACCTCAATGATGAATGTTCGTGCTGCATGCATACAGTACACACAGCACGTATATACACAAATGTGCACACATGAAGATACGTGTAGTGCATGTACGCATACATATAATATACTATATTATAAATATTGGGATTTATACGAAAACGTCGAAGACAGGTAACATATATATGATAATATGACAGAGGCGTATCAATAAAATGGTACTGTCCACATATTTTATAAACATATATATTTTCACATGATCAAGAGATTGCTCCATGCCTCCATATTATAGTCCATATCACAAAGAGTCGATCTGTCATCTGTGAATGAGTCAAAGTTGTTTTTATATTTTTATACTCTCCAATTTTTTAATGAAACTACTTTTACAATAACAAAAAAAATTAATGAAACTATTCCAATTAGGAGTGGAAAATTAATTATATGAATCAAATCAATTAAAAATAACAAAATCAAGCTAAATCGAAATGAACATTTCTCTTTTCAAGTAAAAAAACAAATAATTCAAGCCCAATAATGAAGCTAGTCAGGACATAATCTAGTTTGACTTTAGAAATGTTAGAAAAATAAACTGAAATAACTAAAAACTTTAAAACATCCTCTGGTAGACTGGTACTACCAACCCCATATGATATATCCGTATCAGAATCGTCTAAATTATAAGTGGAACAATAATTCATGATCTTTACCAAAAATATATTTTCTTACTTGCAAAAAAAAGAAGAAAAACTTATTTATTAGAAGTAGCACAATAATGTTTTTTTATTAGATGTGTCTAATAAATAATCATAACATGTCTTGTTAAAAATATTTTAGGGTTTGTTCTTATTTTTTTAACATAATTAAATAACCAATACAAAATTGTGCAAGCCATACATTCATTGTGGTGGACAAACTTGTCTGTTTAAGAAGAAAACAGTACTACTAAATGGTTGGGTGACAGAACTCCTGATTCTTAGAGATTCATTACCAATTACAAAAAGTGATGATATAAAAAGGGTTCTTGTTTCTTGTACTTAATTGCTTATACGGCTCGTGTAACAATGAACAGTGGCATTTTATAATTTAATGAGAAAGGAACATTTGAAGGCTGAAAGCATCTTGATTTGTGTACACACATATATGAGATGATGCCCCATGTGATCTCTTCCCTCAGGGCACAGTCATATATTTCACACGTTGAGTAAACTTTCTTTTTTTGGTATTGACTTTTTTTAATCAGTCATTCTAACATGGACACATGGTTAAATCTAGGTGGTGAAACAACGATGACGGTTTGTGTCACGTACGTACATCATCGCTCGTGCTCCTAAAATAGTAAAATGTTTTCATACGCACACATTTTAGAAGCTTTGTTTTGAGTGACTTTGTACATGATAGGCGTTCCTCGGGTCGTTTCCATATACTCCCTCTGAGACTGAGAGATAAAAGCAGTATTTGCAAACATTTTTTTTTTCTTTTTCATTTTTTTGTTAAAGGGTTTTCTTGTATTTATAAAATAAAAACTGCAGAGTAGCAAATATAAACCATACAGTGTATTTGCAAACATTAAGGAAAAACAACGGTCTAAAACTATTTATATTAAACATTTTCGTATGATTTTAAATCAGTCCTAATCTAAAAAACAACATTATTGTTGTCAATAATACTTCTTGAAATCTGATTTTGTTTTTTATTAGTTAATAAAAATGCATCGAAAACCTAAATTTTTTATCATTGAGAAACAACAATAGTAAAAGATTAGAGAATTCATTATTCAGAAACATATGAATAGGATAATTTATGTCTTTCCATTATTTCCATCGTGGTTCGAAAAACCGTGATAGAGTTAAGAATGGATTTCGCAACATATTTTCTGTTTGTTGGTGCATTTGATCACTGCGTATTATATATATATATATATATTTTTTTTTTTTTGTAAAATGCGTATTATATAATTTTTGATTCAACTAAACATACATTATTTTAAATGAAACGTGTAGTCGTGTGAAGGATCCTAATTTGTATAGTTATCACGCATTTTGTAACAAACATAATGGTTTCATTCCGCTAGACAGAAACCGTGACAGAGTTAAAATGATTATAGTATGTACTATATATTACGCTTGTCGGTACATCTCACCATACGTTATATGATTGTTGATGTAATTAGACATGCATTATTATAGGTCTGATGTGTAATGTGATTGATTATAATTCGTGTAGCTGCCGAATAATTTAGAATAAAGAAAATAATTATGATTCTAAATAAATATGTACCTAGTAAGTTTGACTTCTGTAGGGTATGAAGATAATATAATCTTTAGCTTATTTAAGTTTTTGAGGATAGGAAATTACAACTCAATGTCACTCAAAAGGGGTTCTTTAAGATCACAAAACGTTGGCTTTCAGGCTATGTATTCTTTATTCATCATATATATGATATTTGAAATAGCAGCTTTATCACCATATATATAATTTACATGTGAAAAGAATTTAAATATGGATTTACATTAATTATCGTTGTTGTGAGTCTAGTATATGTGTAAAAATTTAGTATGAGTACCTAAGGAAACAAGCGTCATTTACGTACTTTAAGTTTTCTGTTTATTGCAGGCTAGCAGCCATGTTTTTCAAAAAAAAAGGAACTAACTAATGAATTATGAAGTGTGACAAAAAAAAGGATGGATTGTTAAATAGGATCATATAAAAACAAAGAAAGAAGATAATAAAACTTTTAAAACAAAAGATCAGAGGAGTTGTAGGAGACAAAAGCAAAGCCCGTGAAGTGTGCATGTGAGCACTAAAAGAGATGTTATAATCACTGCCCATTGACAAAATATAGACCCAATCACATGTCTCATCCATTTTTACACACACACAAATACACGGCACACCATATATGTATTTTGGAAGTTTGCTCATCGTTAAAAATAAACAAATTTTGGATTCACTAATATAATTATGATCACATTCACGATGAGTGATTTGTTTCATTTGTTGTTGGTACTTAACTACTTATAAATAAGAATTTAACCATTTTTTTTTTTAAATTTAACTTTATAGTTAGCAATCTTGGTTTGCAAAGTTCTAATGTAATAAATTCATAACTAAACGCCAGTTATCCAAAATATTTGGTTTCGCTAAATGTTGCACCATATACTTTAAATGAAGACGTACGTAACTCACATACAATTATGTGAATTCCTGATGAATATTGATGATATTGTAAAACTACTGTATACCTCAACAAATTTTATATACATATTTCCTAAGAAAACGACGTCGGCCGTCAAGGAAATGATGAGAGATGTAATTGTAAAATTCGAAATCCCATACTTACTATAGAGGCCATGAGACATTTATCTGGTCACCACGATGACACATCAACAAATACATATAGATACAGACATGCTTGTAACTATGTAAATTCATATAAAAACAACCACCTCATTTTCATCTGCCCCCACTTTTATAGTGGATACATATATATTACACAAACACTATAGTCATATAAGTAGGTATATATGTATTTTCTTATGCGAGTAGATGAGGTTTGCAACAGGAAAGGTATATGTGTTTGTCTGAACAGGTGCCTCTTTCTGCCTTCTGGTATGTTTGTCTTGGCTCTAATGGAGTAATGGGTTTCAAGTTTTCGACCAACCAAAGTGGATGAGTCTCTCAACCAACCTTTACTCTACACGTGGCATATATATATCCCCTGGAATTATATTCATTCTCTTATAAACATAAACTAATCATCTTTGATACCATCATTTTTACAATACTATTCACCAATTACAAAGTGTGAATCTGCTAAATTTTGTTAGGTCTATACATTTTGCATATAAACTTCTCAATTCGATTGCCAATTAGTTTTGAGTTAGAAACTAATGATTATTCACACAATTATCTAAATTCATTCAAAACTACCCTAAGTATCTAAAATACCATTATCCACTCTGTATAAGTATATGCATTAGACGTACCTTAAGAATGTAATTTGGTTGATAATTTAGATGTTTGAATAAAATTGTATTATAGTTTCTGTAGGGAATATATTCCAGGACATTTTCAACAAAGAAAGATTTCATTAAATAATAGGATAGTTTTCAATTATAAGAACACGAAGATTGAACCGCTGGCATAATCACAAATTCACAATTAAACATTACAACCAAATGACACATTATAGTCTTGTGTGGATATACTATTATATGTAGTAATAACCTTAGACTTTTAAAGTGAAGTGTCGACCAAAAGAAAGCTTAAACTATTAAGATTGTTAAAATACATTATAGTCATGAAATTCCATATTGGACTCCCGTGAGCACTCCTTCTATATTCTTGGACCGATTCCTTATATAAACTCCAAAAAACCTTTTCTCTTTTCATTCAATCCATAACACTACAACAACAAATAAACCAAAGTCTCTTCCTCTGTCTCAAACCACCACAAATAGAAAACATAACACACAAAAATAAAGCAAAACCAAAAACATGATAACGAGAGAGAGTCAAAGGCTGAGAAGCATCACAATGATGATTCTAATGGCAGTTTTGATCTGGTCAGCCACTCTAGAGACCTGCATTGCCAGAAAAGGAAGACACTGGAAACACCACCATAGCAGCTCCTCCTCCTTGTCTGATTCCTTGTCCAGCAAGAAACCAAAAAGCCATGAGAATAGTCATTCCCATAAGTCAAAACCCAAACCAAAACCGAAGGTAAAAACTCCTTCTCCAAAGTCCGGTGTCGGCTCACCTGTCGTATCACAACCACCACAAGTCCCACCATCACCACAAGTTCAACCACCACCACCACAAGTCCAAGCACCACCACCACAAGTCCAAGCACCACCACCACATCTTCCGTTGAAGCCAGTTGAGGGCTCTCAAGAATTCAATGTGCTTGATTTTGGCGCTAAAGGTGATGGAATGAGTGATGACACTAAGGTACGAGACTCAAAACATTAATTATCCAATTACAAAATCCAATTCAATGGTTCTTGATTTTAATCAAGAATTATAATCTTCGCTTTCAAGAGAATTACTTTGAGGAAGAACAAAACAACAGAATGTGAATTACAGTTGAGAAGATAACACGAGACAGAACAAGAAACAGAGCTAAAGAAAAAAAAGATTTCTCTTTTATCTGTAAAGTCAAGAAACTTTTTTGTTTCTTTCCCTTTTTTTCCTTTCATTTCTGCAAAAATCAAACAAAACGAAAACAGAGACGTGACAACAAAACTACCCAAATTTAGATGGGACCATATTCTCTCTGTTTCCTCCATAATTGTGTTTGCTCTGTTACAAAAAAATATTAAAACGTTTTAATGAAATTCTTAAATTAAACAATCTGTGCAGGCGTTTGAAGCAGCATGGGGATCTGCTTGCAAAGTGGAGGCTTCAACGATGATCATACCGTCTGATTACATCTTCCTAGTTGGCCCAATTTCCTTCTCTGGACCTTATTGTCAAGCAAACATTGTCTTCCAGGTGAGAAACTGATCATCAAAATTTGTAAGAAAATGAATAAATGTTATCTTTTTGACTGAAAGATGTGAGCTTTTTGGTTTTCTTGCAGCTAGACGGAATGATTGTAGCTCCTAATGATCCTGATACATGGGGAAGAGGACTACTGTGGTGGATTGAGTTCACAAAGCTCAAAGGTATTAAAATACAAGGGAGTGGTGTTATTGATGGAAGAGGCACTGTTTGGTGGCAACAAGATCAACCTTTTGATTATCCTATCGACGATGACTTCAAGCTCATTGTCCCTTTAAACAATTCTGTTCAAGAACATCCTCCAATGCCGGTGAAAAATCATCATCAATCATCATCGTCTTCTTCTGCAGCACATCCACACAAGAATCATCTAACACAACTCTCTGTTTTTTGCTCTGTTTTGACTTCAGATAAGAAGTGAGCTTAATGATATGCCAAGCATTAAACCAACGGTGAGAAACAAAAACTGAAGTAGTCTACTTACTTTTTTACCACACGGTGAAATCTTTTGCTGACCTTTTGGTTTCACGGTGCAGGCGTTACGGTTCTATGGAAGTATTGATGTCACAGTCACCGGAATAACGATTCAGAATAGTCCTCAATGTCATCTCAAGTTTGACAACTGCGTCCAAGTTTTAGTTCATGATGTGAATGTGTCTTCTCCTGGAGACAGTCCAAACACAGATGGGATACATCTTCAGAACAGCAGAGATGTCATGATTCATAGCAGCACATTAGCTTGCGGTACAAACTCATTTACTTAGTCAAACAAAAAACATCATAAAAATCGAAACTTTATCTTTTTTACTGATTGCTCTGTTTCCTCTGTTTTTGCAGGAGATGATTGTATTTCCATACAAACAGGTTGCACCAATGTGTATGTTCACAGTGTGAATTGTGGACCAGGACATGGGATCAGCATTGGGAGTCTCGGTAAAGACAGTACCAAAGCTTGTGTCTCCAACATAACAGTAAGAGATGTTGTCATGCACAACACAATGACCGGTGTCAGGATCAAGACATGGCAAGGAGGTGTAGGATCAGTGAAAGGAGTGCTTTTCTCAAACATCCAACTATCAGAGGTTCAGCTTCCGATAGTGATTGACCAATTCTACTGTGATCACAGCAAGTGCATGAACCATACTTCAGCAGTGGCTGTAGAAGGAGTCACATATGAGAAGATAAGAGGCACTTACACAGTGAAGCCTGTGCATTTTGCTTGTAGCGACAGTTTCCCTTGCGTTGATGTGCAGTTATCAGGGATTGAGCTGAAGCCAGTGCAACAACAGTACCACATGTATGATCCATTTTGCTGGAAAACATTTGGAGAGCTCAATTCGCCGACTGTTCCACCTATTGATTGCTTACAGATTGGGAAGCCAGCTAGAAATGGAGTGCATACAGATCATGATATTTGTGTATGATTTTAGATGTAAAATGACTGTATATTTTATTAGCAAGAATATTACTATTACTTTATTATTATACTGATTACAAATTTACAACTAGTTTTTTTTATGTTGATTTGTCACATTGTGTGAAGAGTGTTGTGGATCCCTATGTATATTTTGCAATCTATGAATGTCTTAACAAATTAATTATTCATCTAACAAAAGATTAAAAGTTTGAACAGAGAAAAAAAAACAAAAGATTAAAAGAAGTAATACACATTACTCAGGGCTTAATTTTCTCTTCTTGTTCAGCTGAGCTTTGAGATTGGACACCGTCTGTTCTAACCACAAGACTTTGGCAGCAGAAGTAGCAGATTTGATCTTCTCCTCGTTCAGTTCGACTTTGATATTCTGCATGTTTTTCTTGAATTCTTCTTGGACTCGAGAAGCATCATCATTTGCTTTCTTCCTCTCCAAGGAAACCTCATCAAGCTTTGACTTCAGCCAGTCTAGGTTGAAACCTGCTTCTGTTAGATCAATCAACTCGCTCTGGGCGTTGCTTAGCTCAGTGTTGGTGATGCTATGTGGAGGCTTGTTCAGTGTCTCGATGAGAGCGAGGAGGATATTAATGTATGTTGTCTTCACCAATTGGCTCTTTGGTTTGAAATTCAAAGCAATGTTTGGGTGCTTCACGAAAAGCCTACTCACTGAAGTAGCCTGTAAAAAAAGAGAAGTATGCAATTATGTTATAACCAGGAAAAAAGAAGAAAAAAAACAACAACAACAATAAGCATCTTTATAATTAAAAAAATACCTGAGAATAAAGAACTTGTAAACCACTACAATGTACCGTCTCATTCCCAGTTACATCTCCTTCATCAAATATTTTTACTTCCACTTTAACAATCAGTTTGTTCTTCTCTAGAAACCCTTTCTCTTGAAGATCTTTAAGTGGCACGGCTTTTGCCCTACCCCATGATGAGATCTGAGCGCAAAACAAGATGGGGGACATTTCTGTAAGAAAAAATCTGAAAGATTAATTTGTATTTTCTTTACAATCAAGCAGATATATAAATATATAACGTGAAATATAAGTTAATTACCATCTTTTATGAAGAGCTCTTTGCCTGATTGATTCAACAGAACAAAGGAATAACCAGCTCGTCTTTTCCATCCAAGTCTCAATGATTCAGGCTTCGCAACATTGAGGTATAGACACAAGTGATCATCAACAATATCTCCTTTTGGATAAACCATTACAAACCTGAACACACAAACAAAATATTTGATTAATAACAGAGAACGATTATAAATGGAATATAGGGGACGAGGTCAAAGTTAAAATACACACACACACATATATTTATATAATCTTTTCTTTTACCATTCGCAGCCGCCGCTTGAGAATGTTGGTGATGATATCGCACCTTCCTTGTCGGAGAAGTTATCTATCTCAAACGTGAAACTCGTCTGCTTTCGATCCTCCATCTCTCTCCGGAAAACACTTTTCCTTTCTTAGGTTTCACAAACTTCACACCTGAAACTAGGGTTTCTAGGACAATTTAAGGGAATAAAATGGCGACGTGCACTTAAATTGACTAGGCCACATGGCCCATGGGTTTACTTAGTTAAAATGATAAAATGAAATTTTCTTTTACACGATAGCGAAATGGTTTCATTATCCCACATCGTGTATATATATATAAATTGTTTACCGAATGTGACACGATAACGGATTCATGTACAGTACAACACTACACTACTAGAGTTATGTACCCTTGGAACAGTACACAAAAAAATGACCGGTAAAGACAGTACCAAAGCATTAAATGTCTTCAAGATAACAGTCCGAGATGCACGTACGAAATTATGAAAAAAAACGCAATATCCCATTGGGGGTGTGAGAGTGTTGTGGAGTGGTTAGAAGGCTCTAACATCCCCCGCCTGATTGCTCTATTGAAGCACTAGAAATATTGTTTGTATCACTTACATAGTTTGAATGCTTCCATATGGACCATATCTATATAGACATTAGTCACATTACCACGAACGCATGTAAACTCTGAAAAGCTTGTTTGTTATTTGTGAGCATCTCTTGAATCCATTACTGTTTGAGAAAAAAGGTTTTTTTTTTTAAGAAACAGAATATGATCTTCTTCACAGACAGAAAATTGATGAATTTTAATACCTGTAAATTTCAAAAAGCTTGACTGTTTTGAGAATATCTTGATAAAGTGGATCAACTATAGATATAAATACTTGCTTAATTATTGAAACTTAAATAAAGATAAATCTATCTTTCGTGGAATTATGTGAGTATTCTTTTCTTTTTGATTTAAAGGCAATTCTTCATAAAAATATAGAAACTGTGATCTTACAAGATTGCAATCAAGATCACAACTGCTATAATAAGACTATATATATATATATGTGTGTGTGTGTGTGTGTGACTGCCGTGAAATCTACCTACATATCCTCCGGGAATATATGCAGAAGGTTATTAGTCCTCCGGTATCCTCCAGTCGATTCATTACCAAGTTGCTGAGTTAAATGGTTATGTTATTTACACTGTACGTATAAAGATATACAATGTAAGAAATTGTCACAAGTAGCACCAGTGGTCTAGTGGTAGAATAGTACCCTGCCACGGTACAGACCCGGGTTCGATTCCCGGCTGGTGCACTGAGCTGTGATGAATTTCGGGCTTAGCGAAGCTTAATCCTTCGCACCTCTCTGATTACTCAGATGATAACTGGCCTTGCAACTGAGCTCTTTATTTTTTTATGTACGCATGATGTATATAACTCATAATTTTAGATGAGTAATATTTAGCTTTTGCATAAAAAAAAGAGGCCAAGAACGTATAAGTATTCACAAAAGAACCAAGGACCTGTTTTGATGTTAGTGGGACTTGGATATATAGGAGACGCAAACTACCTATAAGAATCTGACTTCATTTTGTTGCATCTCTGTTTTACATTGTATGGCTGTGATTGTCCTGTTTACTTGAATAAAGGACTTGTGACGCAAGCCACCTTCTAAGTTCTCTCTTTTATAATACTAGGTTCGCAAATTGTATCCGTTTACATTCATTTTGAATAAACATCTTCTTGAATTATCTGTTCATCTTTAACGAAGATTTTGTCACCACCTTTTCGTTCATTCACGACACTGAATCCCAAAATACATAGTCAGAGTTTTGACATCCACAAGAGGTGTCCTTCTGCTCTAAGATTACTAAGTTAATATAAATAAAAACACAAACTTTCCGGAGAACTAGTGAGGGCTTAGTTTCGGTTTTTGTTCGACTTAGCTTTAAGATTCGACACTGTATGCTCTAACCACAACACTTTAGCAGCACAAGTATCATAATTGCTCTTCAGCTTCTTGAGCTCATCTTTAAGTTCGGACACTGTATGCTCCAATGACAGAACTTTAGCAGCATAAGTAGCAGATTTGACTTTCTCGTCGTCCAGTTCAGCTTTGAGATTCTTGTTATCCTCCTCGAGTTTTCGGACTAGAGAACCATCAGCATTTGCTTTTTTCCTCTCCAAGGTAACCTCAGCAAGCTTTGTCTTTAACCAGTCTAGTTTGAATCCCGCTACATCTGTTAGCTCGATCAAGTCGCTCTGAACGTTACTTAGCTCAGTCTCGGTGATGCTATGAGGAGGCTTGTCCAGTGTATCGATGAGATCAAGGAGGATATTCATGTAAGTTGTCTTCACCCGTTGGTTCTTTTGTCTAACATTTACTGCAATGTCCGGGTGCCTCAGGAAAAGCCTACTCACTGATACAGCCTGTAAACAAAGAAATACGCAATAATGTTTAACAGAAAAGAGAATTGACAACAAGAAGAATAAACAACAAGAAATAAGCAATTTTAAATAATATTAATCATACCTGAGAATAAAGAACTTGGAAACCCTTGACATCTAACGTCTCGTTCCCAGTGGCATCTCCTTGATCAACAACTTCAACTACTTTTACTTCCACTTTAACTCTCAGTTTGTTCTTTTCCAGAAAACCTTTTTCTTGAAGCTCTTTAAGAGGCAATGTCTTTGCCTTACCCCATGATGTGAACTGAGCACAGAACAATTGGCACGAGGATTCTGTAAACCAAAACCAGAGAGATTAAATTACAATGTCTTCCTTGAGAATCATATATATACATAATACATGTACATCTGGTAAGTAACTTACCATTTTTTCTGAAGAGCTCTTTGCCTGATTGATTCAACAGAACGAAGGAATAACAAGCTCGTCTTTTCCATCCAAGTCTCAGAGATTCAGGATTCGGAACATAAAGGTAAAGAGACAAGTGATCATCAACAATATATCCTTTGGGATAAACCTTAACAAACCTGGGAAAAAAAAGGAAACAGATTAACCAAACGCTTTAGTTGTGCCTTGTACTCCTAAATCCTAATAAAGACGAGTCATTTATTGAATCTAGAGGATGAAATATAAGGATAAAAACATATATATATATATATATAGTCATTTCCTTTACCATTCACAGCTGCCACTTGAGAATTTTGGTGATTTAACAGAAGCTTCCTTGTCGGAGAAGTTATCTATCTCAAACGTGAAACTCGTCTGCTCTTGATACTCCTCCATACCTCTAAAAAAACACTTTCTTTCTTAGGCTTTGTTTTTGCGAGCATAAGACAAGACTTGTAAGTAAAAACACTAATCAATTGCCAGAACCAGGTCATGTTACACAAAACTATGACCTATAACACCAATATGATTGAAAACTCACTAATCTGACAAAACAAAACCCATATGTTCTGAAGAGCTCTTTGCCTGATTGATTCAACAAAACGAGGGAATAACTAGCTCGTCTTTTCCATCCGAGTCTCAATGATACAAGATTCGCAACGTGGAGGTACATAGACAAGTGATCTTCAATATCTATTCCTTCGGGATAAACCTTAACAAACCTGAACAGAAAAAAAAAAGAGAAACATATAAACTACTTGTATACCTAATTTCAGAGGCAAGGTAATTTTTTTTATCTAAAAGATAAGTTAAAAATCAAAAAATTATATAAATAATATTTTCCTTTACCATTCGCAGCCACCGCTTAAGAAATTTGGTGATGTTATCACAGCTTCCTTCTCAGAGAAGTTATCTATCTCAAATGTGAAACTCGTCTGCTCTTGATCCTCCTCCATGTCTCTACAAAAACACTTCCTTTCTTAGGCTTTAATTTGTTATTTCGAGCAAAAGACAAAGTTACATTTCACGCAAACTAGTCAACTAAATTCTAAACACACCCATCAATTAAACCAATATAATTGAAAACTCTAATCTTACGACCGAAAAAACATATGTCAACTACTTCCATTGAAAGAAAAAAGTGTTCTAGTCTGATTAGTTATCGAGAAAACTACTAAAGTCCAATTTTGTTATATGTTTTACTTCTCAACTTCATCCCAACATTTAACAACAATGTTTCCTCAAAGTTCTTAGCAAAAGTCCCCAAGAATTCAAGTTTCTTTTTCTTACTACAGTATTACATTTCTCGGAGCAATTTCAACCATTTCCAAACATATTTACAGTTCCAGTCGAAAAAATAAGATCTTTTTAAATCCTCTACACAGTAAAAGAATAATAAAAAATCGCTAAATCAACACAAATTTGTTCAAGTCTAGCTTATGAAAAAATGGTCAACATACACATAAATCGAAGTAAAAAAAAAAAAAAACAGGAGATCTAAACTGACCCAAAAAGAGGTGAAAACAAAATCGAAACTGTAAACAACAAGAACGTGCTAGCCAAACCCTAAAACGAAAGAGACTCACCACGTAGCGCTCAAAGAAACTGAGCACTGAGCAGAGATGCAAACAAGCACCACCAATCTCCGAAATTTTATCGATGGCAAGAAGGAATAGAGGAGAGAAAGATTTAGGTTAGCCTTTTGGGAGGAGATAAAGAAAGAGACTGAGAAGTGAGATTCGGCTTTGAGAAATGCGAAGATAAATATAGAGCGATACTAGAGGGGCTTAATTTTCACACGCCATCATTCTCTTTTTTCACCACGCGTCGCTCGCTACTCGTCTGTTTCTACTATTTTTGTGTGCCGCCTATGGCTGCAAAAGCCCTAAGCACGGCTTTGTGGTGACGTGTTTTAGGCTCAGTCATGATTACATTTTCATCGAAAACATCAGTCATGGTGAAAGTAGGTAGTAAATTTAGGACATAATTAGTACTATATTTGTAGTGATTATAGTTACTGACAAAAGATTTAACAGATTAAAAAGAATTAGCAAAGATGGGATAACATGAAAGACGCAACGGAAACGTTTGGCTAGTACCGAGCTCTTCCTAAGCAATGATTTGAGATACTCATAGAAGAAATATAAATGGTGGAGTGGCAACCTAAAGAATAGCAATAGGACAGCCACATAGATGAAGCATACAAGGCAACGCATGACAGCCACGTATTACTTGTAACTAGGGATTAAAGCCCCGCGCAAGCGCGGGGTTGTTTGCGATAATTTTTCTGTTTGATTTTATTTATATTCATTGATTTGAAATTTTGAATTATGATGGTTATATGTTAACTTCCATGTTTTGGTTATATTTTGAGTTAACCCAACAATTAACACTAACAATATGATCAATTTTTTTTATTAAGATATTAACACCTTACTTCATCTCGAGTTTTCTATTTCTAAAATTTAATATGCATTTGACTCAACGTTAAAATTTGTAAACATGGTGTAGAATCGCAATTGCACTCAAAATATGATGAAAAACAAAAACATGTATAACTTCTTACATATATGCTTTGTTGTGGTAGCATATGACAATTGATTATTTTCTATTATGTTAGTTTTGTAAATATAAATTGTATTTTTGAAACAAACATGTCACCATTCTTAAAATTTTCATGCTTTTCGTTGCAATGAAATTTAAATAATAACTCGACTTCTATTTTTTAATAAAACAAACTCTAACTCTAATTTTTTATTAGCTTTTTACTATGTTAAATAATTTATATGTACCTTTTTTACTTGTAAGCACATTATAACATTTTTAAATAGGATAAATCTTTGAGTTAAAACCTAACTATATACTATTTCAAGTTAAATATTTCTTTATTTCATCTCCATTTTATATTACAACTTTCTTTTAACTTTTAACATCAAGATATCACATACTTTATATTAATCAATTAAATTGTTTGTGTATTTTTCTTAGTTTTGTTTATGTGTAAAATAGGAATATATATAAAGAAATATTAATACACATATATTAAATATCTTAAATACAATTAATGATTTTTTTGCTGATGTGGATAGCCTAGGAGGAGAGAGCAACTCTCCTATTATATATAAGATAATTAGAATAGGGCCAAATATTAATACAACTGAAAGTTAAAGTAATGCTTATATAAAATAACGGATTAGTAGATCAAATGAGTTGGGGTTGAAAATGAATGAGTTAATGGATTAAAATGGTTGATCCATCAATTTACGTATAGCAAAATCTATTGAAAGATATTGAAGCAAAGAGCACCAGTGGTCTAGTGGTAGAATAGTAGCCTGCCACGGTACAGACTCGGGTTCGATTTCCGGCTGGTGCACTGAGCTATGATGAATTTCGGCTTTAGCGAAGCTTGGTCCTTCGCACCTCTCTGATTCTTCAGATGACAAATGGTCTTGTAACTGAGCTCTTTTTTTTTATGTACGCATGACGTATTAATTCATAGTTTTAGATGCGAGATCGTTGTGGCCGATATCGAATGTATAAAAAGACCTTTTGCATGATAAAAAAAAAAAAAAAAAATCAGAGGCCAAAAACGTATAAGTATTCACAAAAGAACCAAAAACGTATAAGTATTCACTGGCAGTATCTCTGACTACCTATACGTTTTGATCATTTAGGAGACGCAAACTACCTAAAAGAATCTGACTTCATTTTGTTGTATCTCTGTTTTATATGGCTGTGATTTCCTGTTTAGATTAAGACTTGTGACGCAAGCCACCTTCTAAGTTCTCTCTTTTATAATACTCAGTTGGCAAATTGGATCCGATTTCATTCATTATGAATAAACATTGAATGTATAAAAAGAAAAGCATAATAAAAAAAAAAAAAAAATCAGAGGCCAAAAACATATAGGTAGGTATTCCCAAAAGAACCAAGGACCGGTACTAATGTTAGTGGGACTTTGACTTATGAGAATCTCACTTCATTTTGTGGTAGCTCTGTTTTACATTAAGTAGAGGAAAAGATTACTTGAATAAAAGACTTGCATCGCAAGCCCCCTTCCCAGACGTTTCAAAGGTTGTGGAAGAGAATGAAAGCTAAACTCATCATCAAAGAGAAGTTTGTACTGTGTTGAACGAACTGCTCATAGGAGAACCAGTTCCAAGTTCTCTCTTTTATAACACTCAGTTCGCAAATTGTATCCGATTTCATCCATTATTAATATTGAACAACAAGCATCTTCTTGAAATATTTGTTCATCTTTAACGAAGATGTTGTTACCAACTTTTCGTTCATTCACGACATTGAATCCCAAAATACATCCACAAGATTTGACCTTCTCCTCTAAGATTACTGAAATTAAAATAAATAAAACCACAAACATTCCGGAGAACTAGTGAGGGCTGCTTAATTTCGGCTTCTTGTTCTGCTTAGCTTTGAGATTCGACACCGTCTGCTCTAACACAACACTTTGCTCTTCTCCTTGTTCAGCTCATCTTTAAGTTCCGACACCGTCTGCTCCAACGACAGAACTTTAGCAGCAGAAGTAGAAGATTTGGTCTTCTCCCTTTTCAGGCCAGCTTCAACTTTCTTGATGTGTTTCTCGAGTTCTTGCACACGGGTACGATCAGCATTTGCTTTCTTCCTCTCCAAGGAAATCTCATTAAGCTTTTTCTTTAACCAGTCTAGCTTGAAGCCCGCTGCTTCTGTTAGATCGAATAACTCACTCTGAACGTTGCTAAGCTCACTGTCGGTGATGCTATGTGGAGGTCTGTCCACTGTCTCTATGAGACCGAGAAGGACGTTCATGTATGTTGTCTTCACCAATTGGTTTTTAGGTCTGAAATTCACTGCAATGTCCGGGTGTTGAGTGAAAAGCCTATTCACAGAAACCACCTGTCAACGAGAGGAAGATGCTGAACAGAAAAGATAATAAAAAAGAAGAAGAAGCAACTAAGTCATTACTAAGTCATACCTGAGAATAAAGCACTTTGAAACCCCTGACCTCTAACATCTCATTCCCAGTGACAACTCCTTCATCAACAACTTCAACTACTCTAACTTCCACTTTAACTCTCAGTTTGTTATTCTCTAGAAACCCTTTTTCTTGTAGCTTTTTAAGAGGCACGGCTTTTTTCCTACCCCATGATGGGAACTGAGCGCAGAACAAGTGGCACACCGAATCTGTAACACAAAAACAGAAAGATTCCTTTTTAAATATGATCAGATATATACGCATATATGTACCATTTACATATGATAAGTAAATTACCATCTGTTCTGAAGAGCTCTTTGCCTGATTGATTCAACAAAACGAGGGAATAAATAGCTCGTCTTTTCCATCCGAGTCTCAATGATTCAGGATTAGCAACACAGAGGTACAGTGACAAGTGATCTTCAATATATTTTCCTTTGGGATAAACCTTAACAACCCTGAAAAAAAAGAAAAACATATAAACTAGTTGTAAACCTAATTTCAGAGACAAGGTAATTTGTTAATATATAAAAGATAAGTTAAAAGTCAAAAACATTTCTCTATAAATAATATCTTCCTTTACCATTCGCAGCCGCCGCTTGAGAATTTTGGTGATGATATCTTAGCTTCCTTCTCAGAGAAGTTATTTATCTCAAACGTGAAACTCGTCTTCTTTTTATCCTCCATATCTCTCCGCAAAACACTTTTCTTTACTTAGGTTTACCTTCGAGTAAAAGACGAAATTAATTTCTCACAAACTAGTAATTTACATTGTAAGAATACCCATCAATTTTCAGGAACAACAATGTTTAACAAATATAACACCAATATAATTGAAAAGTCACTAATGTAACAAACAAAACCCATCTGCCAACTATGTTCATGAAACAAGAAATCTTCTAGTCTAATCAGTCATAGAAAAAATAAGGATCAACTTTCATTTGTTGATAACGAAATAAAAAGGGCTCAGTTATCTTGGACAACTGAATCGTCCAAACCACTATTTTAGAAAGTCATAATCCATTTTGACCAATATTTTTTATATTTACATTTCGAGTTCCTCACTTAACATCCATGTGTCTTAGGTTCGTAGGAAAAGTAGACGATTTTTCACTATTTCATTTCTCACAGGATTTTCAACGAACAATTACCTTACATATTAACAGTTCCAGTCAATGAAAGGAACATAATCTTTTGAATTCTTCTACAAAAGTGAACGAAGAAACAAAGACAACAAAAAAGGTAGAGATCTAGCCTGTCCCGGAAAGAGGAGATGATCGTAAATGAGACTGCGGGCACAATCAAACTTGAGCGAAAAGCCGAAAACAATAAGAACACTCGAACGAAAACCCAAAACGAACGACTCACCAAGTAGCTCCTAGAGTTCTTCAAAGGAACTGAGCAGAGATGCAAAAAACCACAACCAATCTCCGAATTTTGATCGATGGCAAGGAGAAATGGAGGAGAGAAAGATTTAGGGTTATATTGGTATCCAAAAAAGAGAGGAAACTGAAAGGGTTTTGACACAGAGAAAGAGAGAGGAGACCAAAAGGGTAATGTCATTCGTGGTGATTTGAAATATGGACAGAGGAAATAAAAATGACCTAACGAATAGCCATATGTGAGGCATACAAGACAACGCATGATAGCCACGTATTACTTGTAATAATTAGAATAGAGCCGCCAATGTATACAAGGCTAGTATTAATATTTAATACAACTGAACCCAAATTTTAAATGTAAAGACTTGTGACGCAAGCTACCTTCCCAGACGTTTCAAAGGTTGTGGAAATATAAATAGGGAATATGCGTTACATTAGTAACAAAAGAGCACTTAAGGAGCTAGGAGCAAAGTTAAAAATGAGAAAGGAGACGTAGAATAAGAACCAATAAGAACTAGCTCGTCTTCTCCATCCAAGACGCAATGATTCAGAATTCGCAACGTGGAGGAACAGAGACAAGTGATCATCAACAATACTGCCTTTGGGATGAACCCTAACAAACCTGAGAAAAAGAAAGGAAACAGATTGACTAAACGCTTTAGTTGTACACCTAATAACAGAGACGAGTCATTTATTGAATCTAGGGGATGATTTAAGAAATCAAAACATATAAAGTCTTTTCCTTTACCATTCGCAACCGCCGCTTGAGAATGTTGGTGAAGATATCACAGCTTCCTTCTCAGAGAAATTATCTATCTCAAACGTGAAACACGTCTGGTCTTGATCATCCTCCATACCTCTACAAGAAAAACACTTTCTTTCTTAGTCTTTCTTACTTCGAGCAAAAGATAGACTTACACTTCACACAAACTAGTCAACTAATTTGTAAACTCCATTCTATTGCCAGAAACTGACAATATTTCACAAATATATAACACCAATATAATTGAAAGCTCACTAATCTGACAAGCAAAAACTGATTCGTCAAAACTACTACTTCTCCAAACCAATATTAACATCCATGTTTCTCTCTTAGCAACAGGTCCACGAGATTTCAGGTTCTGTTTTCACTATTTCATTTCTCAGAGGAATTTCAACAAACTCTTGGCAGACACAGTTACGGTTACAGTCAAATGCAAAAAAAATAATATCTACAAAGTGAAGGAAGCAACAAAACAACAGCAACAACCATACATTTCGCTAAATCAAACACATTTCTGTTTCAGTCTACAAAGCTTTGTCAAAAGATACTCAACATACACGAAAAGGATGAATTTTTTTTTTAAGAAGAAAAGTACCAAAAGGAAAGAGGAGATCAAAACCTGACCCGGAAAGAGGAGACGATCGTAGACAAGAAACAAAATCGAAACTGTAAAAAAGAAGAACACTTGAGCCAAACCCCAAAACGAAAGACTCACCAAGTAGTAGCTCCTAGAGTTTCTCAAAGGAACTGAGCAGAGATGCAGACATCCACCACCAATCTCCTAAATTTGAGAGAGAGAGAAGAGAGAGAGAGAAAGAGAGAGAGAGAGAGAGAGACAACTTCCAATGTTTGGTCATAATTCATAAGAAGAAGAAAAGAAAAATAAAACAAATCTTTCTGACAACAATTAGCCAAAAAACTCTTTTGAGGGCGGAAAATATGTTGCCGCGGTTTGTTTGTGGAGGGAAGAGTGTTACTTTTAAAAAGTTTTACTGCATCACCCTTAAGTCCCATCGGTAGTTTCTATTGCGTAATCCGATTTTTCATACAACAATTACCAGGGGAAGTTTGGTCTTTTAATCTAAAAGTGGTTATGCATGCTATATACAAAGTCAAGAAGGTAACAAAATCTTGTCATCAATTTGCTTTTTGTTGCTTGTGGCTTACATTAGCTAGCTCTCATGCTTAAATATTCCAAACCTTTTTTTACAATCTATTGCTGTTTTCAGGTAACTTGTGAATGTTGTGATTCTTTTGACCAATACAGATCATAATCCGACACTGATAGTCGGAAAAGCTTTTGCGATAAACTCTTGAAACTTCTTACAAAACTCATTAAGACAACGTCTAGTGATACATGTTAATACATTTCAAGGAAAACAGATATTTGTGAGTTTCCATCATTGTCATTTGTGAGTCTGTAATCACATTATCAGATGTTTACAAAATAAAAAAAAAAGGTTTGTGCAAAAAGAACTTCAAATATGACAATGCCACATCGTTGATACAGATAAGGGTTATACTTCAAGTAACTTTTAAGATAAATGGATTAACTTGTACAATCTCGTATACTAATATAAAAAAAGGTTTTTATTCCAATATTGTACTTTTTTGAAGTGAGAATTTTTCTTATAAAAATATAGTTTGAAGGGTTTTTTACACAGAAATACAAATATCCAAAAAAAGGGGAAGATCTAAAATGGGCAGGAAAAAAGATACCTAATCGTACATATGAATGCAGATGAAAAGTTGAAAACAAAATCAAAATCAAGAAAAAACACAATAAAAACTTCTGAGCCAAACCTAAAATGGTAAACTCACTAATTTTTTCCTAGAGTTTGTTAAAGGTAAAATTAACACATTTAATTGAACCCGTCACAATTAGTAGCATTACAAAAGCTCAGCCGTCTTTAACTTTAACCTTCTCAAATAAATGGCAAGTCTTGAGGAGAGCGGCCGAATCTTTGGATAAATGTAAAGATAGACATATGCCAACTCGAAATATGGAAAGAAATCAAAGACAAAATGAAGTTTTCCACTTTAACAAAGAGGAAGATATTCATGGAGAAGCCAACCTCCCATCACTATATAATGAAGAACCCTATTTTTAGAAAATGATCTGAAATGATCTGCAAAATCCCTTAGCAATATCTCTCTTTCCCACTTTCTCTTGTTTTCATACTTTGTCTCGTCAAGTCTGTTTGACGAGACCCCCACTTTGTAGTCCTTGAATCTTCTTCGAGTAAAAGTTTCTAATTCTCTAAAACTCACATCTTTAATATCCCGTCATTGCATATGTACTATCTCAGATCTTACATAATTCTTCAAAGAAATGCAAAAATCAACCAGAAAACTTGATCGATGGTAACGAGTGGAAGAAAAGAAAAAGATTTAGGGAAAATATATTTTTTCAAAACCAAAATTATTAGGGGCAGTTTGGTCTTTCATGGTTCCAAAGGTTGTGCTTGGTACACTTCAAAGATTTTCTCTCCATTAGAACCTGCTATATGGTCCAATTTACCATTTCCCTTATAATATTGGGTTTTCCAAGACGATTTGTGGACTAAGATGAGGAGGTGCAAAACTGCTTTCAGTTGCTTTATTGAAGCACATGATTCGATTGTTAATTGTGAGAATTTCCAACCAACTACTTTCAAAATGTCAAATTTTTAAGCACATTTTAACAATATGTAATGACTAATTAACTTCTTTAAAATTCAACAATCTTACTAATATGCTTTATAAGCAAATTTAGAAAGTTTACAAAATACAATAACATCAACTCTTGTTTGGTTAGGAAATTTGTATGTTGCTCATCAAAGTTCTATATATCATGCATCTTCAATCAAATGCTTCCAGTACGTCAAATTATCTAATATTTGAGTATGTGGTTTCAGCAATATATGCTCAAAGATATATTATTTATTAATTATGATATTATAACATATATTCTCTCCTCTCTCACGATTATCCCCTTCCTGTCTCATCTCTTCCTCCCACTCTCGGTCTCCACTGTCTATCTCTCTCCCTCTCTCTTTCACGATCCCTTCTCTCTCTCTCTCTCTCTCTCTCTCTCTCTCTCTCTCTCTCTCTCTCTCTCTCTCTCTCTCTCTCTCCATGAAGTCTTCTATTTCATATATGTTTAATTAATCACTATGTAATGACATTAGGTATGCTTAGAGCTGTCAAAATGGGTGTCATGTCCATTTTCGGTCGTCCAATAATGTCCATTTGTTTTGTGAATAAAATATTTTTCATGTTCATTTAGCTCCATGTTCATACTGGACCATGTCCAGTATGGTCCATCCACAGACCCATTTTTTTTTTATTATATAACTTTTCGTTTTGAAAATCAATTTTTTTTCTATGCAGGTTAGATTCGGGACTTTTAGCCAAAACCCGAATCTGAATCTGAACCCAACCAGAAAAAACCCAAAAACAAAAAAAACTGAAACCCCGAAAAGCTCGTAAAAAATCCGAAAAACCTGGAAAAACTCGAACCGAACCCAAACCGAAACTTTAAAACACCCGAACAGTTTCTATATTTTTAAACTCGAAAATCTGAAACCCGAAATATCCGGCCCCAACCCGGATTATTTTGAGAAAGCCTAACGCGGATGATGAGAAATTATTTTGCCCTAAATCGATTTGACCTAGATCTTTACATCCATTAGATAGCCCATATCTACTCGTGTCCATCTACATTTGTCCATAGGCTAAGTTGGACATGCCCAATTATACTTATATTGAAAGTGGGTTTGTTCATGTCCGTCCATATTTATATAGATATAAGCTCACCCATGGATTGATGTCCACTTTAACAGCTATAGCCTATAGGTATACTTATGCACATAAAAAGTAAAAACCAGTCAGATGATATCATGTGTGGTTGATGGTGTAGATGCATGATTTTTTTTTTATCTATATATAAAGTTCATACAATTCTATTATGGTGCTGCCACATCAGCAAAAGAGGGTGTCTCTAAATTCAGCATATCATTTTTTTTTCTATTTTAATTTTTATAATAATTATCATTTATTACTATAGTAACTTAATAAGAATATGAAAAGTCATTTAAAAAAGAAAATGTTATGTATAGATCTACAAAAACTATTATTTAGTAATAATAATAATAGAAATATATATAGAAAGAACACTTTTTTTAGTATTTTGGAATGAAATGAGACGAGATTGAACATGACGAGACGAAAAAAATAGAACTGGAGAATAGGGAAATTTTGTTTACTTCTTATTATATTAAGTGACGAGACGAGATCTAAAGGAATAGAAAAGAACGGGATAGGACAAGACATAAATTCCGCCTACCTCTAAATATAATAATTATAGGGGCGAAACGGAAAAACAAAAGAAAACATGATGAGAGAGGACAGACATAAAGTTGAACGGGACAGAATGAAAAGAAATAGAATGTGCAGGATTGGACGGGACGAGATGAAAATGGACATAATGGGATGGAAAGGGATGGGACAGAATTTTGCCTAACCCTAATTATATTTAGACGAGACAAGACAAGATAAAATGGAAAAGAACATAATAGGATAGGATGAGATTGGATGGAGCGAACAGAACGAACGGGAAAGAACGAGACAAGATGAAAAGGAAATAGAATTGAACATAATTATGCCTAACCCTAATTATATTTAGGGAACGAGACGAGAAGAAACGAAATGGGACATAACAAAATGGAATAGGATGAGACTGGATGGGACGGGACATACAGGACGGACGGGACGGAAAAGAACGTACATGATGAAAATGAACAAAATGGGACGAGATGGAACAAGAACGGTACAAATTTTTTGCCTAACTTTAATTATATTTAAGTAATATGTGTATAATATATTTGAAAAATATTAAATTGTGGAAAAACAATAAAACTAACACAACATGCGTGAAGCCCGGATCACCCCCTTGTTATTATATATAACACATAAATAGGTTCCCACTTGTCCCCTTATATTTAATTTTTTTTTGGTAAGGACCCTTATATTTAATTACACAATAGTTTCATAGTTTTAAGTGTAATTATTGTAGTTGTGAAGAAAGGTGTAATTATTGTTGGATATCATATACACACAGACTCACGTCAAGAGAGGTTTCTTCATTTTAATTGTATCTTTATGTTTTAGTTGGTTAATAAAAGAAATTAGTACGTACAAGTAGCACGATTGGGTCATATTCCTCATGAACCGTTTTATGTTTCAGTAAACTAATCCAGCCTTGTAAATCTAGTTTACCCTCACTTTTTTTTTTTTAATTAGTCAATATATTGGAAGTTGACTTAAATTTTAGCCTCACTATAATGCATACCAAAATGTGAAATAAAAAAATGCATACCAAAAAAACAACAGTTCACCATGCACATGAGTTGACTTAGTCAATATATTCCACCAATGTGTATCGTATATCGTTACTTCGTTAGACAATAGTATATCACTCCCTTATTTTAACCACAAGTTGCACTAGTTTATTATCACTTGAAGTTCTTTTAATTAGTATTATTGGAAGTTGATTTTGCATGAATTTGGTAATCGGAGGGTAATTTTGAATTTGTACATCATTTATCTACACAAGTTGCACCATTTTGTTCATAGAATATGATCTTCTTCCAAAAAAAATATGGGAGGCCTCTCTGTCAAATTTCCCAATGTTATATAAGAGGCCTCTTTCTGCTGCAAATCTAAGTAAGACAAATCGTAAAGGGTTTTATAATAGACTCCAATCCTCGTTCAGTGGCTCTTCCATTTTTAATAGTAAGCTCTTCTTCTTTAGCTAGTAGTATATGACTAATGCAGCATGTTATATGATATTTCAGTCTTCAATTTCTCTTTAGACTTTTATTACATATGTTACTGTTGGATTGTACTTAATATATTTTGTATAACATAATTTGGTGCAGAAAAGAAGGTTCATAATGTCGAGGACGGATACAGAACGTTGCATTTACAAAGTATCAGCCACAATGCGTGATGTGAAACCCGAAGCCTATAGACCTCGGATGGCCCTTATCGGTCTGCATAACCGTTCTGCAAACCCGAAAGTTGCCAAGGACGGTGCTGGAACGAGTAACGATCCAGGGTACGAATATACATACGATTTTGTCATTCATCATGGAGCATACTTCAGTAGTTGAGATAGAAATGTAATGATTAGGAAAAAAATGATAGTTGAAAATTAACCGCTGGAGAATAAATCAATTGTGTTAAATAAGCAAAAAACAAAGTCATCAAAAACATAAATTGACAGAACAAATACAACTTATGTAGGTTCATTTTTCTTTATAATTTTAGTGTTTGTAAGGAAGTCTCAATTAAGAAATATAAGGTTTTTGGTTTTGCATTGATAATTGGGGGGAAAAAAATCTTTATAAAATAAAACCAAATCTTCAAATATTTTAGGAAACAAATATTCTGAAATCTTGAATAGGTAAGAAAATTGTTTTTTTTTTTCAATATCTAAGAGGACCAAACCACCCAAACTGAGAGAATTGCACATGCGACTGAAAACATCATTTAAACTGAAATCCGTGGAATGTACATATATATGGTTATTGTTTATATACCCAGAAGTTAACATGTTGGGGGATGCTTATTAGGCTAACCAATAAAACCAAAAAAAAATATGCGACGGTCGAAAAACATAAGAAGAAATATTTAGAATCTTTCACACAAAGAGTAGGGCCAGAGGCTATTGAGGAAATGAAGAACATCATAGAAGCGGAAGAACAAAATATTCGAGGAAGCTATGCGGAATCAACTGACTGGGTATCACCTGAATCCTTCGTGGACCATATCCTTGAGGATTCAATTTTCATCATGGAATTCATTATCAGGCTCCGTGAAAAATCACATGACGACCTGATTATGGGCAGCGCTAAGTTCACTGCAGATGTGAAACAAGATCTAATGTTGCTCGAGAATCAACTTCCATATTTCATATTCGATAGATTGTTCGGTTCATATACGGAGAGTTTGGATATAAAGGGGACGGTTGAACAATTCATCCTGAAGTTCTTTTCCTTGGAGAGAACAAGAAAAACAAACTTCAGGCATTTCACCGATATGTTCCGGTGTGTTTATGAGGAATCTCTTGAGATAACTCCAACGTTGAACGACTTGAGTGCTAAAGCTATTGTCAAGATGGAGAACGCGGATAACCTATCCCGAGCAGGAGTGAAATTCAAGGTAATCCATCTTCTATTTCATATATTTATACTTCCTCGCTATGTTCCTATCAAATGATGATGTTTTAGAAAAAAAAATTGTGTTCCACAAAACTGATATTTTAGCCTTCTTTATTATTTTTAATTAATAAAAATTTAATTGTGAATTTCAAAGAACACCTAATAAGGAATATTTGAATTGTTGAATTCTTGTTGGTTATATTTACAAGAAAGTTGGTTAGTGAGAGAGAGAAAAATATGCATCTATAGCTTATAGCTAATATTAATTATTTTTAATATGTGTGATAATTCTAAAACATGCTACGAGGAACGAAAGGAGTATGGAGGGAGTATATAGTTTTGTTTCATATTTTGATTTGGCATTTTTTTGTGCAAGGCTTTAATTCTTTGTGTTTCGGTTTAAAACTCCTAGTCGTTTTTAGCTTTTTGACTGGTATATATTAGGATCCTATATATTATTAATTTTGAATTATAAGCAGTGCCGTGCGAAGGTGTATAGGCTCAAGGCAGATTTTTAAAATGGGATGTTTTTTATATATTTTTGTTATGTAAAACTACAAAAAATGGCAAAAAAAGGAATAATACAAAAAGAAAAGAAAAATAAAAAACAATATGTACATAGCATAGGATATTCGCTGGTGAGAGAAGGAGAAAGATGGATCGCGGTAGGATTTTTAGGTTGTCAGCTTTTAGAGAATCTTAATTCAAAAGAAAAAATGGGCATTTCTAGGTTCGAACTCGGGTTACATTTGTCAGACCCACTGAAACCACTTTGATACATTTTGTTTTGAGAAATAGGGGCCTCTGAACTTTATATATCATATGGGCTTTGTTACTTTTTTTTTTTTAAGTTTGACTTTGAGATTTTTGATTAGTGATGTTTTGAGAACGCTTTGAGAAAAGTATTCTGAACCCTTGGTGTTTATTTCAGACATTCAGTCAAATGGAAAATTCAGAATCAGACAGACCTCACCACGGTAATCAACAGCCGTTGGAATCGATCTCCATCAGAAAGGAGACGGATGATGATTATTCGCTGCGTGTGGTGTTTAACAGAGGCTGCTTAGTGATGTCCTATTTCCGTGCGGCTGAAGATTCTGAAATTATTCTAAGAAATGTCATTGCATTTGAGCAGTCCCATGCTGCTGTAAAACCCTTTACTTCTAACTACATAAATTTCTTAAATTTCCTAATTACTACCGAAAAAGACGTTGAAGTACTCACAGAAGAAGGTACATGAGATATTACAAAATCGATTAATTAATACATTATATTTATCTCTTGAATTGATAATGAATAACAAAAAATCATGTATTGCTGGAACACAGGGGTGCTAAGAAGCGGTATGGGTAGTCCAAGATTAGTGGTGGAGATGGTAAACAATTTGAACCGTGGCCTGAAGGCACCGGAGAATTCGCAATACCATAACATAGCCATAAATCTCAGAGCTCACTATAAATCTCGCAGAAAAAGGTGTTGGGCCACTCTCAGTAAAGTCTACTTCAGTGACTTGTTGACCGGAACAGCTACATTTGCGGCCGTATTTCTCTTGTTTTTGACTCTGGTTGGGACGGTGGCTTCTGTCATCCAAGCTTGCAAAAGCTTCAAGTAACTATATATGCTTCTCTATCATCTAAAGCTTGTTTCCATGTCTTCCTTATGGATTATTCATGTACTTTCGTGATTTATAATTATTATTATAATTTTTTTTTTTTGTGAAGACCAGAGGGTTATTCAGGCACTCGACAAAGCCCCCCTCCCCCAAGGTGAATGTAACTACACTGATCTCAAGCGTGACACCAATTTACCTTGCCAAGTAAAAGTGGTTTAGATAATTTCACATTTAAGGGGAATCGATCATTGGCTTATTTTATGATTTATTGTTACTTCTGTAAAAGGCAATTGTGTTTTTCACGAAATAAGTCTATGCATTTTCTAAGTTTTTATTCATCTCTTGGTCAGTGGCCCACACATATATACTCATATATATGCAAGGAAGTTCTAAAGCTTATTAGAAAGAATACATATGTGTCATAATATAAAGAAGATTGGGATAACATAAAATTTGATTTCATGATAAAATATGCAAATAACTTGAGTAATATTATACATGTTTTTTTTTTTAAATAATGGATGAAAAGATTATTATAAATGGTTTAATGATTTTTCAAAAAAAATTGTTTTACCAAAAACAGAAACAAAAAAATTATTTGATATCTTTTCGTTTTTTTTTTAGTTTAATATATTGATTCAAAATAAAAAATATCAATATATTAAACCAAAAATATCAATATATTAAACCAAAAAATCAATATACTAAACTAAAATTACCAAAATCAAGTATATGTCGATGTTGACCGCAGTGAAATCAGCCTTCTCATCCTCCGAAGCAGATAATCAGAAGCTTATTTGTCCTCAGGTTTCCTCCACTAGATTTTTATTCATATTGCTTATTAGTTTCTGCTGTGTTTTTACAATGAAAGACACTTTACAGACCCGGAAACGATTCCCCTCTGGTGCACTGAGCTGTGATGATTTAGGCTTCTGCGTTGGTTCGGTCCTTCCCACTCTTCTGATTTCTCGGATGTCATATGGACTTGTTTCTGAGCTCTTTATTTTTTATGTACGCATGATGTATATAATTCATAATTTTGGATGAGTAATATTTAAGCTTTTTCATAAAAAAAATAAAAAAAAAATAAAAAATAGAGGCTAAGAACGTATAAGTATTCACAAACCTTGATAGTTTTTGAGAAAATCTTGATAAAGTGGCTGGCTTAACTATAGATACAATACTTGCTTAAATATTGAAACTAAATTAAATAAAGATAAATCTATGATTAGGAACTCGATGTTTGTTTCGCTGAATCATGTGATTTTTCTTTTTCTTTTGAAGTAAAGGCAATTCTCCATAAAAAAAAAAGAAACTTTGATCGTACAATATTGCGATCAAGATCACAACTTCTAGGTTTAACATCAAGATCACAATGTATGTAGCAGAAACCAATAAATTATATACAGTGGCGAATGTAGAAAAAAAATCAAGTGGGTTCAATGGAAATCGAACCCAAGTTATGAGGTGTCAATAGGCTATTTTTACCATGTTTGCTAGAGTATATTTTGTGTTTTATAGCCAAATAACTGAGCTCTTTTTTTTTTGTGTACGCATAACGTATGTAATTCATAATTTTAGATGCGAGATCGTTATGTCGAATGTATAAAAAGACATTTTTTACATCAAGTGCCACATATTTTTGAAAGAAACTTAAAAAAAGAGAGTACGATTTCATATAAAAAGACCATTTGCATAATAAAACAGAAATTTCAGAGGCCAAAAACGTATAAAGTATTCACAAAAGAACCAAGGACCGGTATTCATGTAAGTGGAGACTTTTGATATAAGAATTTGACTTCATTTAGTTGTATCTCTGTTTTACATTATATGGCTGTGCCAGCTTGTCCTGTTTAGATTAAGACTTGTGACGCAAGCGACCTTCTAAGTTCTCTCTTTTATAAGATACTCAGTTCGCAAATTGCATCCGATTTCATTCATTATGAATATTGAACAACAACCATCTTCTTAAAATATTTGTTCATCTCTAACGAAGATGTTGTTACCAACTTTTCGTTCATTCACGACACTGAATCCCAAAATACATAGTCAAGAGTTTTGATATCCACAAGATTTGTCCTTCTGCTCTAAGATTACTGAAATTAAAATACATAGATACACAAACTTTCCGGAGAAACTAGTGAGGGCTTAATTTCGGCTTCTTGTTCGGCACTGTCTGCTCTAGCCAGAACACTTGAGCAGCATAAGTATCAGATTTCCTCTTCTCCTTGTTCAGCTGATCTTGAAGTTCCGACACCGTTTGCTCCAACGACAACGCTTTAGCAGCACAAGTATCAGATTTGACCTTCCCCTCGTCCAGTTCAGCTTTGAGAATTTTGTTGTCTTCCTCGAGTTCTCGGAATCGAGAACCATCAGCTTTTGCTTTCTTCCTTGCCAAGGAAATCTCATCAAGCTTTGTCTTCAAAAAGTCTAGCTTGAAACCTGCTTCTGTTAAATCGATCAACTCACTCTGAGCGTTGCTAAGCTCAATGTCGGTGATTCTACGTGGAGGCTTGTTCAATGTCTCAACGAGAGCGAGGAGGAGATTCATGTATGTTGTCTTCACCAATTGGTTCTTTGGTCTGACATTCACTGCAAAGTCCGGGTGTTCATAGAAAAGGTCACTCACTGTAACAACCTGTCAACAAGAGAAATGTGAAATTATGTTAACCAGAAAAGCGAATCAAAAAGAAGAAACTCGACAAGAAGCATCCTTATAATATTAATAATCATACCTGAGAATAAAGAACTTGGAAACCCTCGAAATCAAACGTCTCATTCCCAGTGACAACTCCTTGATCAACAACTTCAACTACTTTTACTTCCACTTTCACTATGAGTTTGTTCTTCTCCAAACACCCTTTCTCTTGAAGCTCTTTAAGAGGTACGACATCTGGCATACCCCATCCTGAGAACTGATCGCAAAACAATTTGCATGACAGTTCTGTAAGAAAAAAACCAGAAATATTAATTTGAATTTTCGTCATCATCAATCAGATATATACATGGAAGATAAGTTAATTACCATCTGTTCTGAAGACCTCTTTGCCTGATTCATTCAACAGAGCGAAGGAAAAATTAGCTCGCCTTCTCCATCCAAGTCGCAGTAATTTAGGATTTGCAGCTAAGAGGTAGAGAGATAAGTGATCATCAACATGGTCTCCTTTGGGAAAAACGTCAACATACCTAGAAGAAAGAAGAAACAAGAGAAGTTGGTTAATTTAACGGTTTAGTTGTATTAAACGATATTCTGATGAATCAAAAAGATGAGTTGATATTAATCAAAAACACTTTTTTCTTTTTCTTTTACCATTTGCAGCCGCCGCTTGAGAATGTTGGTGATCGTATCCTATCTTCCTTGCCCGAGAAGTTATCTATCTCAAACGTGAAACTCATCTGCTCTTGATCCTCCTCCATATCTCTACAAAAACACTTTTGTCACTTCGAGCATAAGACAAAACTTACAGTTCACACAAACTAGTCAACTAGTTTGGAAACTCTTATCAATTGCCAGAAACCGACAATGTTATAACAAAAATATAACACCAATTATATAGTTAAAAACTCACTAATCTGACAAACAAAACCCATCTGCCAACTATGTCCATGAAAAGAGAAAACAACACAAAGTAATCTTATAAAGCTTTATAAGAGCTTTATTTATATTGGACTTTACGTAACGGTAACAACTGATTCGTCAAAACTACGACTTCTCCAAACCAATATTAACATCCATGTTTCTTGCTTAGCAACAAGTCCACGAGATTTCATTTCTTAGAGGAATTTCAACAAACACTTGGCAGACACAATTACAGTTACAGTCAGTGCAAAGAAAATAATCTTTTGTAATCCTCTCCAAAGTGAACGAATCAACAAAAAAAAAAACAACAGCAACCATAAATTTCGCTAAATCAAACAAATTTATGTTTCAGTCTACAAAGCTTTGTCAAAACTCAAAAGATACCTGAACATGCACGAAAAAAATAGAATTTTTTTTTTTTCAAAAAGAAAGGAGGTGATCTAAACCCTGACCCGAAAAGAGGAGACGATCGTAGACTAAAAACGAAATCGAAACTGTAAAAAAGAAGAACACTTGAGCGAAACCCCAAAAACGAAAGACTCACCAAGTAGTAGCTCCTGGAGTTTCTCAAAGGAACTAAGCAGAGATGCAAAAATCTACCACCAATCTCCGCAATTTGGTCGATTGCAAAGAGAAACAGAGAAAAACAGAGAAGAGAACGATTTTTAGGGAGAGATAATGGTAGCAAAGAGAGAGAGATAGGAACCGGAAAAGGATTTTGACAGTGCTGTAGTGAGAGGAAACTGTAAGGTTCCAACTTCCAATGTTTGGTCATAATTCATAAAAATAAAACAAGTCTTTCTGACAAAGAAAATAGCCAGGAAAATATGTTGCCGCGGTTTTCGTTTGTCGGTGTAGGGGAAGAGTGCTATTTTTTAAAAGTTTTACTGCATCACCGTCAAGTCCCATTATTGCGTAATCCGAATTTTTTATACAACAATTACTAGGAACAGTTTGGTCTTTTACAATGAAAAAGTAATTGTACATGCACTCATACATTTATGTGTATTCTCTTAGTTGTATGGTCAATTAAAAGAGATTATGTAACCATTGAACTTCAAATAAATTCTTAACGAGTTTTTTTATTAAAACTAGGATTTGGTTCTCTATACTTTTTTATTAAGATGTTAATCCTCAAAAAGTCAAAGACTTCTAAGCCCTACATTTAAATGATTGACTCAAGTGGATACAACTGATGTTTTTGGAGACGATGAAGTATACAAAGATTAGTCAAGAAGATAAGAAAATCTTGCATCGATTTACTTTTTGTTGCTTGTGGCTTACATTAGCTAGCTCTCATGCTTAAATTTTCCAGACCTTTTTTATAATTTATTGTTGTTTTCAGGTAACATTTGGTGAATGTTGTGATTCTTTTGACCAATACAGATCATAATCCGACACTAATAGTCGGAAAAGCTTTGTGATATAACTCTTGAGACTTTTTACAAAACTCAGTTAATACATTTCAAGTAAAACAGATATACACAGACACTCGTCGTATACTATTATAATATGCTCTCGAAGTTAGTTTGCGTTTAGATAACTAAACTAGGAGTCTTGTTTATAATGTAGTTCTTTCTTACTGGGACTCTTGACTCTTGAGAATGAGGAGACACAATCTACCAATATAACTTAGTTTGTTCCGCAAAAAAAAAAAATAAATAAATAAGTAGAGCAAAAGTTTTTTTTAAAAAAAAAAGATATGAACGACTTGTGACGCAAGTCATTGTTTGGAAGACTAAGTTCTACGAAGGTTAGTGAGACTGAGACGCAATCTAGCTACGAAAATCTGACTTCATCTCTACGTCCCGAGACATTTCATAGATTATGAAGTTATCATATATCAGCTAAAGTAGCAAGAAGAGGGCAAAGAAGGAGATGGAGCAAATATAGTTTTATAATAGCCAGTCCGCAAATTGTATCTGACTTCAAACATTTTGAATAATAATCTTCGTAAAATATTGTTCATCAAACTAAGAGTTTCCACACCCAAAAGATTAGACCTTATGCTAGCTCTCAGCTTACGGAAACTTAAAAAAAAGACACAAATTTTTGGAAAAATTAGCGAGTGCTTACTTTTTCAGCTTATTGTTCGGCTCAGCTCTGAGATCCTACACGGTCTTCTCCAGCGACAAAACTTTAGCAGCATAACTAGCAGATTTGACCTTCTCCTCGTCCAGTTCAGCTTTGAGATTCTGGATTTGATCCTCGAGTTCTCGGACTCGAGAACCATCAGCATTTGCTTTCTTCCTCTCCAAGGACATCTCATCAAGCTTTGTCTTCAACCAGTCTAGCTTGAAGCCGGCTACGTCGGTTAGCTCGATCAACTCGCTGTGAGCGTTGCTTAGCTCTGTGTCGGTAATGCTAATTAGAGGCTTGTCCAGTGTTTTGATGAGACCGAGGAGGAGATTCATGTATGTTGTCTTCGCCAATTGGTTCTTTGGTCTGACATTCACTGCAATGTCCGGGTGTTTTGTGAAGAGCCGAGTCACTGAACCCACCTGTCAACGAGAGGAAGATGTGATTATGCTGACCAGAAAATAGAATAAAAAAAAAGACAATGAGAAGCATTTCTATAATACTAATCGTACCTGAGAATAAAGTATAGATGTTTGTAGAAGTGATGATTTATTCATTCTCTCATAGAGGTTATTTATACAAGAAGACAACCAAGGTCGGGCTTTACAATAGAGTTAATGTAGAATATATACTATCTATAAGTGATTCCTAGATATCAGCAATTAGTGATACGATGATATCTTTACATGCCCCCTCAAGATGGAGGAGCCTTGGTGACTCCAATCTTGGATGAGAAGTTGTTGAATGCAGCTTTGGACAAGGGCTTAGTTAAGACATCAGCAAGTTGATCGTGTGTAGAAACGTGAACTACACGGAGAGACCCAGACTGAACTAGTTCCCGGATGAAGTGGTAATCAATGGCAATATGCTTCATGCGGGAGTGAAAAACAGGATTGGCACAAAGGTAAGTTGCACCTACATTATCACAGTAGATAACCAGTGGCCAGTTGACGCGGATGCCAAGTTCACTGAGTAAGGAGCATAGCCATTTGACCTCTGAAGCAGTATTCGCCACTGATCTGTACTCAGCCTCCGTCGATGACATCGCCACTCCTTTTAATTTCTTTGAGGACCAAGAGATGGGGTGTGAGCCAAGATAGATAATGTAGCCATTTGTAGAGCCATAATTGTCAGAATCACCTCCCCAATCTGCATCAGAGTATGCATGAAGTGTGGAGTTGTTACCTTTCTTGAGAAAGATTCCATGAGTTGGTGTACCAGCTAAATACCGAAGAAGTCTCTTCACCGCGAGCCAATGATCAGTTGTAGGCGCATGCATAAATTGAAAGAGTTTACTGACCGCATAGGAGAGATCCGGCCTAGTGAAAGCCAAGTACTGCAGACTGCCAAGAGTAGCCCTGTATTCAGAAGGATCAGTGAGTTTGGTGCCTGAATGCAGGGAGAGTTTCGGAGAGACAGCCATCGGTGTGTTGACAGGCTTGGCAGAGAGCATGTTGGTACGAGCAAGAAGGTCCAAAATGTATTTCTGCTGATTTAAGTGCAAACCAGAAGACGTCCGTCGTGCTTCAATACCAAGGAAGTAATGTAAGTCTTCTGGATCTTTGATCGAAAACCTTGAGGCCAAAGCATCCAGAGTTTGTTGAATTAAACGTGAGTCATTGCCCGTGACAATGATATCGTCAACGTACACCAACATATAGAGAATGGAGGTACCTCGCTGCAGAACAAACAGAGAAGTGTCGGAGAGAGAGTTCACAAACCCGAGGGAGAGAAGATAGTTCTTCAGCTCAATGTACCACACCCTAGGTGCTTACTTCAGACCATAGATAGCTTTATTCAATCGGCACACGTAGTCAGGATGATCTTTGTCGATGAAACCAGGCGGCTGTTTCATATACACTTCATCGGTCAACGTCCCCTACAGAAATGCATTATTCACATCAAGTTGCCGGAGGGGCTACGATCCATCAACCGCAGCACCAAGAACCACACGAATCGTTGTTGATTTAATGACAGGACTGAATGTCTCTGCATAATCAAGACCAAGGCGTTGATTGTAGCCTTGTGCTACTAAACGTGCTTTGTAGCGATTCAGGACACCAGAGGAGTGGAATTTCTTAGTAAAGATCCACTTACTGCCGACACACGTAACCATCGACGACGGAGGAGGTACTAAGTCCCACGTCCGATGCTGAATCTGAGCATTATACTCACCACCCATTGCATTTCGCCATTTATCATCTTTAAGAGCTTGAGCAGCTGTCGGTTCAAAATCACACTGAGAGGTAACTGAGGCAGAAAGCAGATAACGCCGATTCGATTTGACGATACCAGCTTTGGATCGAGTACCCATGGCGTGAATGTTTTCTGGAATTGGGTGTTGTGGATTTTGGTTTTGAGGATTTGGCTGGTTCTGTGGATTTTGGTTTTGAGGGTTCAATAGTGGAGGATTTGGTGGAGGTGGATTTGGTGGTGATGTATCAGAAGTGGAGGAGGATGATGTCGTCGAGGGGGACACCGTCGTCGAGTTGGAATTTTCCGATTCCGACGGGAAACTGTTCTGGGTTGAGGATGAAGGAGAAAGAAGTGGGCCATGTGGATTTTGTGGTGAAGTGGGCTGATTTTGTGGTGATTGTTGCTGGGCCGTGGGTTGCGGCCCATTTTGTGTTGGAGCAGTGGGCTCAGAGTTTGAGGAGGGAGAAGAAGAAGAGATAGAGTTGAGAGGCGATACCTGTGGAGAGGCGACGGTCGGCGATGGCACAGGAGAGGCGGAGTGAAGGTCCGAACACGGGAAAACCACCGGCAAACTCTGAGACGGAAGTTGTGTGACTGGCGGTCCTTCAATCGACACTGTGCAATCGAGATCTGTGACTTTCGGAGCTTGAGTGAAAGCAAACGGAAAGTCATGTTCATCAAATTGGACATGGCGTGAGGTGTATAGACGTCCAAAGGGAAGGTGCAGACAATAGTAAGCACTCTGTGTGTTGGAGTAACCCAAGAACACACACCGAAGCGATTTGTCTTCCAATTTGTGACGATTGTATGGTTTGAGCCATGGATAGCAAGCACATCCAAAAACCCGCAATTTGTCATAATTGGGAGCTACTCCAAAGAGTTTCTGGAACGGCGAACACAATTCAATGACGGGAAATGGTAAACGGTTGATGAGATACACCGCGGCGGCAAAAGCGTAAGGCCAGTACTGCTTTGGAACAGAGGCTGTCGACATGAGCGTCATTCCCATTTCCACTACATGATGATGCTTCCGTTCTGACATACCATTGTGTTCTGGCGTGTGAGGAGGTGACGTCAAGTGGGAGATGCCATGTGTAGAAAGGTATTCTCTTAACGCCACATACTCACCTCCCTTATCAGAAAACAGCGTCCCTATCTTGTGTTGAAAACGATTCTCCACCAAACTCTTAAAGGCTATGAATGTTTGTTTGACTTGGGATTTTTGTTTCAGGGGATATAGCCAGGTGTATCGGGTAAAGTGATCCACGAAAATGACATAGTATTTGAAGTTATCATGTGAAAGAATGGGGGAACTCCACACATCGGAGAAAAGATATTCAAGAGGTCGTGATGAGGTAATTGTGGATTTGGAAAAAGGAATTTTATGGCTTTTATTTATTAAGCAATCTGAACAGGAGAAAGCTTGAGATAATGGTTTTTTCACAGGAAGAGAGAATTGAGAAACAACAGTGTTTAGAATGGAAGAAGAGGGATAGCCTAATCGCAAATGCCATGAAGCTGAAGTCGCCTTAGAGTTTGGTGAAGCAAACAACGCAGAGACTTGAGACGGAGACACCGGCCATTCATACAGTTCATCTCTAGTTTTGCCTTGGAGTAATGGGGTTCCCGTGTTCAGATCCTTCACCTGAAAGGATGCAGGGAAGAATTCCACCGAAACACGGTTAGCATTGCATAATCGATATACCGATATAAGATTTTTATGGATATCAGGGACATATAAAACATCTTGTAAACGTAATGGATGATATTTTGTAGGGAGAGATTTGAAACTGGAGTGAGTAATCGGAATGGAGGAACCATCAGCGAGTGAAACATCATTTCCTCCAGGATACGGTTGATGCAAGGAGAGATTGTGGAGGTCCGACGTCATGTGATGCGTCGCTCCACTATCAAGTAACCAGTGATCAGGAGAGTAACCCGAGCCTGCTGCGAAATTGGCTCTAGGTTGCCAGGGTGTAAGCGGACCAGGACGCTGATTATTGAAGTTGTTGTGCGCCTGATATTGCGGAAATTGAGGACACCTCTTCGCTCCATGACCCTGGACACCACAAATCTGGCACTTGCCAAGGTAAGGTCTAGGAGTATAGGAATCATACCTCGTTTGTGGTGGAGGAGATTGCCAGTTGGAGGATGACTGTTGCCACTGGTTGTTCTTGTTGCGTGAGTGATTGTTGTTGTTGCGGAAGTTGTTGTTGTGGTGGTTGTTGCGTTGTTGAGCCACGTTTGCAGTGACTGGAACCTGTGGAAGCATTGCTTCAGCAGTGGTGAGAAGTTTAGCCTCATGGTTGAGAAGCTTCTCATGTAGTTCGGTGATTGATGGAGGAGTATCACGGCCTTCAACCTGATCTATGACCGTTTTGTAGTCGTCAGGCAGACCTTCGAGGATGAGATCTATTTGATCTTCATGCTCCATCGCGGCACCGAGTATCGCCAGTTGGTCCAGGCGAGTGGTGACACCTTGAAGGAAAACATCAATGGTTTTACTTCCTTTGCGCCAGTTTTTGAGTTGCGTCTTCAGTTGTTTGATATGGCCCCTGCTAGGTTTAGCATAGGTTTGGGCAAGTCTTTCCCATACTTCAAAGGCTGTGGAAGCACGAGCAACAAGAGGTTGGAGCGGCGTGGAGATCGCTCCAATTAGGTAACTGAAGATCAATTTGTCTTGACGATTCCAGAGAGTGTATGCTGGATTCATCGAGACTGCCTCACCAGTTGTGAGAGTTGCTGGAAGAATGACCGCAGACCCATCAATATGACCAGCGAGATCATATCCATCAAGGAGGGCATGGATCTGGATCTTCCACATGAGGTAGTTCGTAGCCGTCAGTTTGGAGACATGAGTCATGT